TAACATCTACCAGAGCAGGGAGTTCCAGGATATTTGGGAAAGAAATAAAGAGTCAGTACCAAATGGACCTCTAGGAATGGTGACCAATTTTCAGCCTCCCAGGAAAGCTGGCCAGATAAGAGATTTTGCTGTAAGAGACTAAGAGAAAAATGCTGAAACCAAGTTGTTGTACATTGTGGGGCTGTTTTCTCAATCAACTGTCCCTTCAACTCCAGGATCTCAGGCACAGTCCTGGATTCAGGCATAGTCCTGTGGTGAGTGAGAAGCACTGGAGACATGGAAGTGGAGCGTCACCTGGACAGAGAGAGCAGGGAGTTGGTGGGATCAGAGGCCAGAGGTGAAGGCAGGAAGCACTCTAAGCCACTATTGTCAGGAGAGCTTGGATTTTAGCCTGAGGATATCAGGAAGCTACTGGAAGGTTATAGTCAGGGAATGATGTGAACAGATCTGTGTTTTTAAAGGAGCCCTCTGGCTGCTGCTCTGGGGTGGGTGGTCAGGGGCAGGTGTAGGAGCGGGATCAGCCAGGAGGCTGATGTGGTGGTCCAGGCAAGACATGGCGGTGACCTGGACTTGGTGATGCTCACAGGAAGTAGATGAAAGTGACAGTCAAGACACGAGCAGAAAAAAAGGGAGAGTCAAGGATGACTTTAAGTTTTGGATTTAGGCAAGGACAGAAAGTAGGACATTTGCAGAGATATTTGAGGGTATCTTTGCCACACTCTCACCCCACACTGAGCTCCAACAGTCCAACTGCCAGCCCCTCAGAGTGGTTTTGACCCACACTGATCTCAGAAGGTCATCTGACAAGGACAGGAGGACCGTTAAGCCAGGGCCAAGGTTCAGAGAGGTGAAGCTTTGCTTCTGCTAAACTCAACAACCATCACCATCCAGATCCACCTTGGTCATCCTAGTCCTTCGCTCCACCACTGATTTTATAAATCAAAATCACTTTGCGGTTGATGCTATGAAAAATTATTTTTTATATTGAGCTTTTAATGTCCAGAAGCCCATTTCAACTATCAAATTGTTTATCTCTAATTCACTGCTTCTCACCTCATGAGAGTTTCTTAGTCGAATTAATATTTACAGGCTGAACTATTTTGCTATGGCCTCAAGCAGCCAGTCTGTGGTGGATAAGCTCAGCTGGGATGGTTGTACTGTTGCTTCTGGGTCTTGCTGGGAAGGTGAGGTGGTAACCAAGTGCACTGCCTACTTAGTTGTCTGTATCACACCTCTCCAGAGATTTCTTAAAGACAGAGACATGACTTTTCCTTCCACACTTAACTCCCTCCCCTGATCCCACTATAGCTCCAAGCTTGATGCTCTGCAAAATAAATAGTCACAGTTGCCAGGAATAAGCTGTCTCTGTTATAGCCTGAATTGTGTTCCCCAAACTCATATGTTGAAATCCTAACCCCCACCACTTAAGAAAGAAACTGTATTTGGATATAGAGTTTTAAAAGATGTGATTAAACTAAACTGAGGTTGTTAGGGTGGGCCCTTATCCAATCTGACTGGTGTCTTTATAAGAAAAACTTTGAACACAGAGACATATTTGGGAGGTGAGGACATAGGGAGAAGTCAGCGGTCTAGGAACCAAAGAGAGAGGACTCAGAGGAAACCAGTCCTTCCACACCTTGGTCTTGAACTTCCATCCTCTAGAACTGTGAGAAATGAATCTCTGTGGTTTAAGCCACAACTGGGGGGTCTGTGGTACTTTGATATGGCAGCTCTAGCAGATGAATACAGCACCAAAGCTAGCTCTCTCAGAATGGCAGCTCCAGGACAGAAAGAAGACTATGTGACATTGACATTGGCTTTGAATAAAAACATTTTTTTTTGAGAAAAAAGAACACCTTAGAATGAAAAGTGCCAACATAACCTTTTTTTTTTTTTTCGAGACAGAGTTTCCCTCTTGTTGCCCAGATTGGAGTGCAGTGGTGTGATCTCAGCTCATCGCAACCTCCGCCTCCTAGGTTCAAGTGATTCTCCTGCCTCCACCTCCCGAGTAGCTGGGATTACAGGCATGCACCACCATGCCCGGCTTATTTTGTATTTTTACTACAGACGGGGTTTCTCCATGTTGGTCAGGCTGGTCTTGAACTCCCAACCTCAGGTGATCCGCCTGCCTTGGCCTCCCAAAGTGCTGGGATTACAGGTGTGAGCCATTATGCCTGGCCTAACCGTTTTTCTTATACAGCTGACTAGCAAAAGCACACACATGTTGGTGGGGGCAGAGGATTTTTTCCTAAATCTAACTCCTCTTTGTGATTATATAAACAGTGAACATTCGACTGGGGGAAATTTAGAAAGTACAGAAAAGCACAAAGAAAAAAACAAGTCACCTGTCATCCTCCCACACTTCTGTATCTGTTTCTTCTATCTCCTCTTTCTCTCTCCCCCTACTCCTTTCTCTCTTGCTTACTTCTGTTTTTGTCTACCTATTCAAAAAAGTATAGTTTGGATTAATTTTGACAAATCGCCTTTTCACTTAATACTGAAATATGAACATTTTCTCCTCCATTATTAAAGATTCATCTCAAACAGTTTCAGCGGCCTCCCAGAATCTTCCTTCTATGGTCTGCATCACCACGACTGACTCCGAGCCCCCTGCAGCTCCGCATCTGCATTGTTTCTTACTGTTAACTAATATAAATACTGCTGTGATACACTTCCTTGTAGATCAGTCTTTGTATACATTTTGGGTTATTCCTCAGTGCAAATGTCCTAGAAGTGAAATTACCAGTTCCTTATATTTTGAGAGAGGAAACTTTTAAAAAGCCTTTATAACTTTCTAGTAGGTTATGCTGCTTTCAGGGATATAACAATTTCTCATCATACATATTAAAAGATGCCCAGGGTTTCTGTTATAATTTTAGACATCTTCCAAAAATAAAAAGAAACAAACAAAATAAAACCTAAGTTATCTGCTATAGTCAATGCAAGGAAGCGACAGGCATCCCTGGCTAACATGGAGCTGCCTTTCAGATGAGAGCCTGTTACTTAGGAAGGGAAGGAAAGGAGGTGGCCTGGCTGTTTTTTCAGCATTCTGTGGAATGGACACCCATTTTACAGATGAAGAAACAGAGGCACAAAGAGGTAGAGTCACACATAGCTTGAGAAGGAAGCAGTCAGGATTGAAATTCAATTTTTCCTGGCTCCAAAGACCAAGGCCTTAGCTGTTATTCCTGAGGGTCTCTGGGTGCTGGTCTTTTACAAAGGAACAAGCTGCTGAGCAGGTCAGCTGCAGGACAGCTCACAGATCCAGCCCTGTTCTGCCTTACCATCTTGCCAGCAAAATGAGGTACTGGGTGCGCAGGATGCAAGATGCAAGGCTGGTGTGTGCCCCAAGGGAGCACAAGCTGGTTTGGCCCACCTGGCCCTCACCAGGTGATGGCCAATATGCCCACCTGGCCGTTTGCTCATCTGGGCCACAAACCCTTATCACTGTGTGGACCCCATTAGAAACAGCCAAGCTGTGTGACAGGCCAGACAAGGATGCACTAGTGAGCCTGAATCAAAGAAAACATGTATACAGATAAAAGCAGGAAAAGCAGGAGGGAGAGCAAAAATACCCCACACATGCCGTGGCAAGAAATGAAATTATGAATACATTGTTTTGTCCATTGTCCAGTCTTTTACAAATGTAATGTTGTTTCTGCAGGGATATGGTGGGAAAATCAGGTATTTGAAGGCAGGTGGACCGGGTTCCAGTCCTGCCTCTTAATGGTCAAGTGACTTTGGGCAAGTCACTTCACTTCTCTGAGCCTTAGTCTCCTCACCTGCAGCATGGGTATAATCACTGCATCTCATTTTCAGGATGAAGCAACGTAAGAGATGATCCTTAGCATTGCACCTGGCACACGGTAGGGCACGGCAAATCCAGTTTCCATGCAAATTAGCACCTCTCTGAGCCCCAGGCATGAACAAAGAGACAAGACCCTGCCTTGGGAGGAGCTGAGTGCCGAGAGGAAGCAACAAGACTACCGAGGTGATGAGAAGTAGAACAGAAGTGACAGATCAAGTCCACATTATTTTCAGAAAATGATCATGCTTTGAGTCTTTAGCTTATGACGGCAGCTCTCTTTCATCAGACCTCGGGAGCAGTGGCTACTCCAGCCTAGGAAGGAAGCCAGTTCCACACACACCCACCCCACAGGCTGTCAGGGAAGTGGCACCCCAGAGCCACTGGCAGGCGCATTCCAGAGAACTCCCAGGCCCATTCCAGAGAACTCCCAGACAGTCCCTTAGGTAAAGGGGCTGTGTCTCCTAACACTTGTTTGTAAACAGATGGTTCAGAGCCTCAAGTTCGTTTTCCCAGGGACACCATGGTGGCAAGGGTTTCAGGCTAGCTCACAGTGGCCCCATCAACCCAAAACAGGGGCCAAAGATGGTGCTCCATGCAAATGGCTACTGAACTCCAAGGTCCTCCGCAGGCTCCCAGGCCCCACCCAGGCTCTCCCTTCTCAAGGCTTCAAGTCAAAAACGCCCCTCAGTGGGCTGACCTCAGGGAGATAATAACTGAAAAATCATTTGATGGTGTTAAAACATACTGACATGAGAGTGCCTGACATGACAGCCACAGAGCCCACACAGGAATATTGCTCTTCCTCTCCAAAGGACATTTAGTAAGCCAAGCGCACTTCTCCTTTGGTGGAATATCACATCAAGGTAAAGTGGCAATGCGTAGGCTCTGTGAGGACTGGGGAGGCGGTCACCTGCTGGAAACAAGCCGGAACTGCAGCTTTCAGACCTGCTTCTGCCTTTACTCTTCTACTAATAGAAGGAGTTTTTGAAAGTCACTGCCGAGGGCTTCAGTGTTGGAAGTAGGCTAGGGAGGCTGGGCGTTGGGCGATGGGGGTGGAAGATTGCGCAGAGAGGCAGTTTGCAAACTGGGCGTTTCTAAATCAATGCTGCCAGAAGCTCAGGCTGCACACAGATGCGAGTGGGCTTCTACAGGTGCCCCCAGGTGAACCAGGGCTCATGGCTCTCACACTCACCGTCTCCTTAGGGCTCACAGTCCACGCTCTAAGTGCAGGGAACCCTAAGAGAAAAAGAGATTAGAAACGCATGTCAAGGGGGCTTGCATCTTCTGAGTTACAAACTGGGGGCCAGGGATTCAGATCTGGCTGAAACAGTTTAAAATGTACTATTTGAGCCAATCCCAGTATAGAAACTGAAGGATTTCATGCAAAAGTCAGGCTTGCTGGTGCCACTGGGGAGGGATGCATTTCCAGGCCAGGTGCCAGCAGGATGGGCTCCCCTGTGCTCTGGTGTCTGATGCTGTGACCTGCAAAGCTCAGTTTTGCCTCCTTCCTGGAGACAAATCTCCCAGGTTTGGCTGGGCATCCTCCCCTTTCCCCTCCCTTTGCTGGATCCAGACATACAAACTGGGAACCCTGGAGGAAGATAGCCGGGCTTCTTCTTAGAGAAATCAAGGGAGAGAAGGTAAAGTCAGGCTCTGGACAAAGTTTGGGGTTGCGGCCCTTTCCAATATCCCTGGCCTGTGGCTCTGGGGGCTGAATCAGTCAGGGTCCTGGGGCATCCCTGTCATTTGAGGAGGGCTTAAGGAAGGAACTCTACAAAAGTGTGGCAGTAATAGGGAAACCTGGAAGTACAGTGCAGCTCCAGGGACAAGCAAAAGCAGGGGGGATTCCTTTCCTGCACTCCTAGTCCTGAAGGAGATGGGAGGAGGGGAGGCTTCCAGAGAGGGCTGTGTGGAGCAGACACTTGATGGGAGCTGTCACCTGTGATCAAAGCATGCAGCCAGCCCAAGGGACCCTGACCCTGAGGGAGGGAGCTGGGAGGCTACATACTCTAACCTCTCTCCCCATCACTCTGTACCTCACCAGAGCTCCTCATTGGCCAAACCTAACAGGAAGCCAGAAGGAGAGGGAGCCAGTGGTGCAGCCTGTACCAGCCACCTCTTGGGACACACAGCAAGCAGGAGACCAGTGCTGAGCAGATCCTGAGGGCCAATGGCAGGCATCCAGCACAGCAGCTCTGCTCCCTGAGTCCTACTCACTCGCAGGGGCTACACTCTCAGGCCCCAAGCCAGGGCTAACCAGGTCCTACAAAGTGTCTGAAGGCTCCATTCTACCTCACTGACTATGAGTTGGCACTGGGCACTTTGTGACAAACCTGCCTGAGCCTCACAGCTGTTCTGCTGGTCTGAGCCTGAGCTTTTGCTCTGTCCTCCAGCGCCCCACCTCTGCTAACCCTTACCTTAGTACCTGGAGCTCACTGGGCCCTGACCCTCCCTCCCCCTCCCTCCAGCCTGTTGTCTTCTACTGCAAACCCTTCAAATCCCTCCCACTGTTGAGCCAGCCTGTCCCCTTCCCAGAAAAACAGCCCAGCCCAGAGTTCACAGAGATCCAGGAGCAGAACTGCAGGGAACCCAGAGCCACGAGGCCAACACAGGACAGTCATGGGGCCAGCTTGGGAGCCCCAGAGCTCCCTGACTCAAATCTCTTCTGGGAAAAACACGAGCCTGACAAGAGACAGCCAAATTCAGGGTTTCTCAGTACCTGGAGCTAGAAGTGATTGTCAGCTTCAGCACCTGCTTTGTATAGATGGGGAAACTGAGGTCAGGAGAAGGGTGGAGCTTGCTGTGGCCACACAGCCAGAGAGCAGCAGTGCCAGTCTTTTGTTTGCTCCCCAAGCTGTCCCTTCCTTCTGGCCTGGGACCCACGAGGCCGTGGCTACGTCAGGAGTCGAGTTAGCTTCCCTTCAACAATAGCAATCTTACTAATAAGGCCAAGCAGGAGGAGTTCCTTTGAGCAGGCCCGAAGCTAACATCTAAAACCACAGAGCATTTTCTCCTCACCTCAACTCCCTGAGGCAGGCACTATTACTCCCATATTACAGATGAGAAAGTTGAGTCCCAGGGAAGCTACATGGCATGCACAGCACAGAAGCAACCACATCAACTCAACGATAAGATCAATAAGCATTGCTGAGCAAGCTGCGCTCCCAGCTTGCCCTATGCAGAGGCCCCGCACGCAGCGCCTCATTAAGCTTTATCTGGAGCAGCACTAGCTGCATGGCCATTGAGACGCCCCTGACTGTTTTGCTCTGTGCATTTGTCTCCTGACCCTCTGTGGGCCTCTCCCTGATGTCTCAGTCCATATGAGGCAGAAAGCTAAGAACCGGCCACCTGTCAAACCCAGCACCTTCCAGCCATGCTCAAGGGGCCTCCGCAGGCTCCCCTGGGCCCAGCTGCTCCCCACCCAAGGCCCTGAACTCCTTTAGACTGTAGTGCCATCCCTGGGCCGTGGGCAGCCAGGCCTGTCTTAATCAGCGGTGCCCCCGTCTTCTTCAGCGGGGACTGTTGGGATGAAAGATTGATGAGCGATCTTTCCTCACTAGTGAATTTTTAATTATGGAAGAAAGGAGACCCCAGCCCCTGGCCCAAACCAGGACTGTGGGGAGGACGGTTCTTGGATGTCACCACTGTTAAAATTTCATCTGCATTGACAGCAGCTATGAACCCTGCATCCAGGTTTTTCTGTCCACAAATAAAGGTGAAGGCCTGTGATAGGGAGTAATTGGTGAAATTGGAAAAGTCCCCTGACTTCTAACATAGATGGTTCTGGAATGATATGAAAGTAACTGAGCTTAGGACCCCAGAAAGACAGGGACAAGTCCAAGCATAGCAGACAGTGGGTGCAGGAGGCTGAAGCCATCCCAGCTGTCAGAATCTATGATTCTTGCCCTTCTAAATTGCAGGTGACCGCAATTCTCACCCTGGATCCTCTTACAGTCAACCAGCTGAGATGGGGCTGAGCTCAGAGCATGGTCCCAGGCCTGTGGGCCTTACAGAGATGAGGCTTTAATCAGGATCAGGGCCCAGGTAAGCCACTGCCCCAGAAGAGCAGGGTGCCCGTGGGATTATCCATGACTCAGGTGGGCCTAATTTCACAAGCCAGCCAGCAAAGGGAAGCCATCACCTGGGCTTGAATCCTGGCTCCACCATTTCCTGGCCCACGTTCTTAAGCAAGTCACTTCAGCCTCCTGAGCCTCAGTTTTCTCCTCCATAAAATAAGGGTAGAAACAGCTCCTGCAGAGGGCTGTGGTGAAGGTAAGAGGAGAGGATGCATGGAAAACACTGAGCACTCTGCCTGGCCTTAGTCAGTTCCTTTTTTCTTTTTTGAGGAAGTTCTTTCTTTTTTGATCATAGCTCATTGTAACCTCAAATTCCTGGCCTCAAGCGATCCTCCTGCCTCAGCCTCCTTAGCAGCTGGGACTACAGGCACATGCCACCACACCTGGCTAATTTTTTAAAAATGCTTTTTTGTGGAAATGAGATCTTGCTATGTTTGTCTCGAACCCCTGACTCAAGGCCTCCTGAAATGCTGGAATTACAGGCCTGAGCCACCGTGCCTGCCTGGTGAGTTCTTGATAAACAACCAAACAAGGAAGAATAAACCACCCTTTCTACTTTCAAATGGTTTATAAACTAGTGGGGATCTCATACAGCCCCAAAACAAAACTCAAAATGGAAGGAGAGAAATCGGGGGCAGAGGCGAGGGATCATTTTAACCTGGGGGTGGCAATTGGAGAGGGTTCACTGAAGATGAAAATACACCTCCAAGAATCCTTTGAAAGTTCAGGAACTAATCTTCTTGGGTGGAAGGCCTGCCTGCATCCTGAAGTTCTCTCTAGGACATTGGGTGGGAATGACGCTCTGGTGTATACCTGGTTTTCCGTTATACCACTGTTCAGTCAATAAAGTCATGAGTCATTGGCTCCAGGAGCCCCAGGATTTCCACAAATTCTGACTCCTCCAGGAAGCCTCTCAGGATTGCTTCAGCCCACAGGAACCTTATTCTTCTCATGTGTCAGTAGCACCCAAGGCCCAAACAACATGCCCTAACCAGCCTGCTTTCAAGGGAGAAGCCCTGGATTCTAATTCCAATTCCACCCTCTCCTCCCTGTGAGATGTTGGGCAAATGCCAGCGCCTCTTGGGGCCTGAGTTTCCCTGTCTGTGGGAAAGGGGTTGGACTAGCTTAGAGTCCCTCAGAGTGAGCTCTGGGGAGCACTAGTCTTTCAAGAAGTCCCTTAAACCAGGCACCATGTTAGTAAATATTTGGGAAATGTTGTATGCTGTAGCTCCCATCCCCTTGTAGCTTTCACAAGGCAATGACTAAGGCTCTGATAAGTCCTGCAACATAGAAACCAGCTTAGTTTGGTTTGACCCAGCATTTCCCATTTTAACTTGACCTTGAAACCTTTTGTGGGATAAACTACCATTCCTTAGAATGTACTTTGGGGAATGGTGGCCTCTGGGTCTCCATCACAAAATCCCTATCTTGCATTCATGGGTGTATCCCTGCCTGCAGTGGCCATACACTCTTAAAGGAGGGACTGTGTCTGAATGCTGATGTGTCCCAGGGGTTGACATTCTCAGTGCCTGAAATGTCCGTGTGTGCTCAATCAATATTTTTGAATACGGGGTGAGGTTTTAAGTATTTAACAAGTAGCATGACCTTGTCGTGTGCCAAGGGGGTCACTAGCTATAAATAACCAACAGGGCTTTCCTGACCATGCTTGTCAGTTAAACCTCAACCCTGGTGGAATGAATGAATGCATGAATGAATGACTTGTAAGACCTGCCTAAGAAATTATAACTTAACTAAAGAGGAAAAGCACTTTCTAAGGCAAAGCCCAATGCTGTGTTTTAAAAATATTTTCCCCTTTCTGGACTTTTCTGGCTTGACTGTTCAGATGTGGGGGTGGGGGCTTGGTGGTGCAAAGATCACCTGACGCCCACCATGGCACCAGGCTGGAGCCAAGGCCGGATGAGAAAGTGGCTGTCTTGTGTCTTTAACAGCCGGCAGCAACTTTGGTATTTGAAATGTCCTTCTGAAATCTAAATCCAAAATGAAATCGTTTTTCAAGTAAATAATATCATTGATGTCAGTGTTGCTGCAGGAGGTTCAGCAGGCCCCAGAAACTCAGAGTAGGGGGATGCGCAGGTCGCCCTGGAGCGGGGCGGGGACAACCCAACCCAAACATGGGTATTCTGGCTCCACAAGGTCTCC